GGCGACATGATCACGGTTATGCAAATGACGGAGCGCCCGACGTCGCTACACGTGCGTGAGGATACCTCGGCTAGCCGGTGGTGTAGATTGGAGCATGCCGGAACTTTTTATATTTATATTAATATTTTTTTGCTAACCCAAGCTAAAAATGCCAAAGAAAGCGTCGCAAAGTCAGAATCTTGAAAAAAATCGCGATTGTTGGATTTTTGTTTTGATGTTCTGCTAACTTTTATGCCAAGCTAAAAATCAGAAACTCTAGCAACGAAGTACAAAAAGATAAGTTAGTATTTTACTGCTAAGACTGCGCTAGGCTACGGAACGCAACGATAGAAACTCGAAAAAAACAAAAATTTGTTAATTTTTATCAAAGTAAGGTATACGTGAGGATACGCTACACTACGCTACGATACGCCTTTCCGTTTAGAAAAGACCTCACGGGCCCAAAACTGCAACCCCAGCCATCGGGATCCCGGATTCTGGAGGAGGCGGCGGCCTTGGAGTACCGTCTATCAATTTGATCCCAAATACCCCCGTGGATCCGTCTACCTTTGATGATGAGAATTGTCTGGTCGTGAGGACACCAGATGTTACTGTAAGTTGTTTTAGTCGCAAAAAGCTGCTTATCTATCCCAACAGTTATTGGTTCTTTTTCTCCGTTAAATTTCATTTCACAGCTCAAAGACTATAACATAATACTTTTTGATTTATTATCTATTATCGTTTATTAGCTATTATCTATTATAGTTATTTATTATCGATACCTTTGACTTGTCTGTCCTTCGTTGCAAACCCTCCGTTTTAGCCCGAAAACCCTGATATACTGGTAAGACTCCCAGTAGATCTTGCTTTTTTGAGTTTTCCAATAGAAGCTGCTTCTTAAGTTTTCCCATAGCCGTCCGAGTTATTTGATTTGTATGTTCCAAACGTGTTTCAAAGTGTTTAGTAATTGTAGAAATTGTCGGATTTTAGACTGCGTTTAAGAATCGTTTTTAGTCAGTGCAATCCGATGCCACCTCGGTCTCTTCGCAATCGACCTCTGGAGCTGATGAGCTTTCAGATAAAGATGAGGGCAGTAGCTCATGCGATGAATCAGTTGCAGATCCGAAGGGTTAGTGTTGTTGAGTTTAAAGGTGCTAGTAGGAAGTCCGAAAACCGACCCTTGGCAGGTGTGGACGCGACACTCCTAAAAACGGAAGCCAGGCCACGTGAAGATGGGTATCAAATTCCGATACTGGCAAAATCTGGCCCATCAGAATAATATATAGTAGTTTTAAGCAGTGGCGCGTAGCTGTCGAGACCTAGCCGGAAAGGGGTCGATTTTAGCGGTGATACGCTTCTTTAACGGGACCGTGACGCGCCATTTTTTGGCAATAATGTTAGAGCGGGTCAGCGGGTGGGAGAGACATAGCGCGAAAGCGAGAGAGAGAGAGAGAGTGAGAGAGAGAGAAAGTGAGAAGGATGGCAAGCGAGAGTGTGAGTGAAAGAGTGCGAGAGAGCGACGGAGGAAAGCGAGATTATATAAGGTAATCCTAATTTTAGAGCTTGCCTCGATCCCGGAAAAGCTCAGAAATGAGTGCGCCACCATCCTATCCGCCACTCCCGAGCAGTTCGCCCTGGAGCACGATATGATTCTGAAGGATCAGAAGGTACCGAACTTTGTACGTGCAGAAGAATCCACAGGATCCTTTTGCCTTCCTAGCCCCTTTAAAACCGAATTCAGGATCAACAAGACGATGGTGCGGTGGCCATCGCCAGAGGTCGAGCCATGTTTAACAGCCGCGCAAGTTCAGCGAGTCTATTTTCGGTGAATTTGGGTGGGTCTTGAAACGTTTTTTGGAAATTTACATTTTTCAGGAAAAATGCGGACGATGAGGCTGTTTTTCTCAAATCCGGAAAATACATCTGGGCAGCTGGTTATAGGTTAGTAGGTAGGTAAAATGGAGATTACTTGTTTTTAGCCACCCACGACTCGCACTACAAAATTCTCCACTTTCACCATGGTGGCTTGGACAAGCTGGCGCAGCTCTTTGAGCAGTGGTCGGCGATCAAGGCGCGATCCGTGAAGGAGGTACGGGAATAGACGCAAAAGTGGAGATTTGAGAGGGACTGGTAAGGCATGAGTGAGGATTTTTGTGGCTATGGATTCCTGAAAAAATTGGCTGGAGCCGCGAGACGCGACCCGCACGCCGTTCGGCCAAAATTTGGTCGACCCCCCCCCCAAGCTCCAAAAATTTCTAGACATTTCCGCGATTTTGTCGGGTATTTGGTTGCGCGATTTAATAGAGCATCAAAAAATATACTCAGAGTTGTAACTACAGCTCAAAATAATGTAATATGAAAAAGTTATTGCCAAAACCTTTTTGTAACTTTCGGCTGTGGGAAGGCAAAGTCAGTTACGCATTTGAAGGCATCGCGTGTGCGTTGCGTGTCGCGGTTGCGCTCAATACTGGGGTCCGACGGGCGAAAATCCATAGTTTTCCCTGAACCGTTGGTTTAAAGTCGTAAGCTTTCACTGGATAAGATGCCATACCCAGATTTTAGGGCAGTCCCTCTCCGGCCCCGGATCGTCATCTCCTGATTTGCCAACCTGCCGTGAAGAAGAACGAGCTCGATCCGGAGGATGGGCTGTTTGAGAGGGTGCACTGGGACTACTGGAAGACGTTCAAAAACGCCGAGGGAGCAATTCATGATAGCCAGACGATTAGAAAGGTTAGTAGGAGCGCTAAGGAGAGGACGACTCTGTGGTCGTCGCGCGCTTACAGTTCGTTAGTGCAAGCTTTAGAGAAACCGTGGCACCTGACGCATACGCACGTGTCTACGAACCCATCCAAAAGATTCGATAGCGTTAATATTCCTCTAATTTAAGGCCCTCTACTTTGCATCCATGGAGCCGAATCTTCGAAAGGAAATCTGGCCCTTCCTACTCCGCGTGTACCCTTGGGAATCAACGGTAGAACAGCGAGAGACGATCCGAAATGACCTGTTTCTGGAGTATCAGAATATTAAGCGAAAGAGGTACGTTCCCACGCCTTAGATACGCTCTGTAAACTACTTATTTGCTTATCGCTGTTATAGACTGAAGAAGGCGGCCAGCTCGAAGCACTGGGACGGGCTGGAAAATACGGTAGTGAAGGATGTCGTGAGAACAGATCGAAAGAATCCGTTCTTCGCGGGGGATGAGAACCCGAACGTGGATATGATGAGGTATAGAGACAATTTAGTTAAAACAGCGCATGTGAGAAAAAAATCAGCGTCATAAAAATAATGCAGATAGACAAGAATAAACCCATAGAAACGATTACTTCCAGGGACATCTTGCTCAACTACGCTGCCATGTATCCAGATGTTGGGTATATTCAAGGAATGTCTGACCTTCTGGCACCTCTTCTTAGCACATTAAAGTAAGTTTTGTTCGCTTATTCGCTGATTTGAAATTTGGAGCCTGGCCTGTTTATTTTTTATTTAATCAAAAACTCTTAGCGTTAATTTTTAGAGATGAATCTGAGGTGTATTGGTGCTTCGTCGGGCTGATGCAACAGACGTTGTTCAGCAAGTCGAGTGAAAGCCTGATGGAGCAGAACTTGGTAGGTGACACGGATTATAATGATAGTAATTTAAATAGCGTTGTTAATAAGGACAATATTTGAGGAATATCTTCGTGAACTGATCAAGCTCCTCGTCCCGGAAGTGTTCAGCTACCTCTGGCAGCTGGGTGGTGACTCGTTGCAGTTCATGTTTGTGCACCGATGGATTCTGCTGTTTTTCAAGGTATGGCTTCCTTTCTTCTGGCCTTTTCGTGTGCCTTACCTTCCATCTCTTTTTCCTTTCCTTAAAGGGAGCGTGAAAGATTACTATGGATTTATGCTAACCATTTTAGAGAGAATTCGCCGAATCCGACGCGCTTCACATCTGGGAGGCATGTTGGGCCCGATACCGTACCCAGTACTTTCATCTCTTCGTATGTGTGGCGATAGTGTCGATTTACGGTAAGTAATCAACTAAATATGATCGTTTGCTCGCTCTCATTGACCTTACGATCATCATTTCGACCTTTAGGGCCTGACATCATCTCACAAAAACTCCCGCACGACGAGATCTTGCTCTATTTCTCCTCCCTAGCCAACCACATGGATGCTCGAGTGGTGTTGAAGAAGGCCAGAGGACTTCTACACCATTTTGTGAATAGGGAGAAGATTCCGTGCTCGTTGGCAGGTAAGAATTTACAGATAATTACTGTATTTCTAATTTTTAATGGGTTTAACGGGACCGGAAATTGAATTTTTCAGGAGTCGTCGAGTCGAGCGGGATGTCACAGTGGGATTCGCACAAGAAGCTACAGGCCTATGAATGTGTCAAGGTAGGAAAACTGTTTCTAACGGAATCTCTTACTCTCTCTCTCTCTTTCTCTCTCTCTCTCTCTCTCTCTCTCTCTCTCTTTCTGTCTCCCTCACTGTCTCTCGCTCTCTCTATCCCTCTGGACAATCCTTAGAGATTCTTTAGGGATGAACTCAAGCGCTTCAACATTTTTTATTTAAGTTTTTCAGAGGCACGGCGACGATGAGCCATGCCCATACGCCTAGTTTTCCTCCATTAATGCGGTAATATATCGACAATTGCCATATCGACCCTCATCCATTTCGTGTTTGTGTAATATCTATATCTATTTGGGATAGACTAAAGGAATAAAGCATACATTTTTTATTGGTAATAATACCCAGCAATAGAGGGAAGCGCACAAGGGTCTTTGGCTCGTAAATCAGACAAAAAAGTAAATTCTAGTACGGTGTAGGTACCCCAAAAATCTGCTTATTTTTGTACAGCTTTGAGATCAATGGGCGGTGGTTGAAGCTCGTGAATTCGTGAGTAAAAAAGGGGAAAACCGAATCGAGTTACCCTAGAAATTCGCTGCTTTTGGGGTGCAATTTGGTTATTTTTCAATGTTATTTGGGTTAGCAGTTCGTGTCCGGATTCTGGGGCTTCGGGCTCGTGGCGACGCATCAGCACGCTTCTTGGCCTCGGCGGAAGCAGTGGTCTGGAAATGGACGGTTTAAAGGGAGTGTGAGAGCTTCATATTTCGCTATAGTACCCTCCGTATTTCCCGGTCTTGCTCTGGCTATCCGCCCTCTCCTCCCGCTGACTCTCCATCTCGCTGTTGCTCGCTCTTTCTCTCGCCCTCTCTCTCTTTCTCTTTCTTGCACTCTCTCCCTCTCTCTCTGTCTCTCACTCGCTCGCTCTCACTCACTCTCTCTCTCTCCCTCTCTCTCTCTCTCTCTCTCTCTCTCTCTCTCTCTCTCTTTCTCCCTCTCTCTGCCTCTTTAAAGGTGCACGGACAGTAAGCCTTACCTTGATCGGCGCAGGACCCTGTCGTTGAGGTGTCGAAGCGGTTATCACCCTGCCCGATGGCTTCGGTTGTGGTATCCCAGTCCTTGTTGAACTTGGCGCGGAGGTAGTATTACTTTTAGCGGGCGCTCCAGTTGTAGTTGGCGTCCGCTTCGGCACGGTAGCTACCCTGGAAGTCCCTGCCAAGGGTGGGTCAGCTTTTGGCATGGGCTTCACCACGCTTTTCGGCTTTTCGCCATTGTCCTTTAGCGGGGATGGGCCGGGAAGGTTTGCTAAAAAGCGCTCAATTACCGTATGCGGATTTTTTTGCTTACCTGTCCTCACCGGATCGTTGTGGATGATGGTGTGCGTGTTTTGGCGTTCCATTTTGTGCTGAAAATTGGGGAATAAGCATAGAAAATTGCCGGTTGTTCTAACTACGAATAATTGAAGAATTTCGATCGATGATTTGATGGTTTGTTGGTACTGTTTAGGTGATTTTCACTAGTTAATCGATTGAGTTCTGCTACATTTAGTAACTTTAGCGAGCCAGAAATATTTGTTTTATTCCTTTCCAGTACTATTGAACGCGTTTATCGTTGCGTAATCGATTGGATCAAACGGCTTTTAGCAAATTTTAGCGTTGATTTGGAAAAGGGGCTTTTTTGTCGCTTTTGAACCGAATTTAATGCGTTTTCGATCTTGCAATCGATGGTTTTGACGCATTTTTGGTATTTTTCGTAAATTCTGAGCTCGATTTTCGATAAAAACTAATTTTCCCTACCTGTTTTTGGCAGTTTGATTGGTTTTTTATAGCGTAACCGATTGAGTTGAGCAATTTTGAACATTTTTTGAGCAATTTTTGAGCTTGATCATGAGTTTTGAGCACCAACTTTCCGCATGCACTATTCAATTCTTGCCAAACAACTTCTTCACCCGCCCCACAAATCCGTGCAACTTTTGTCGGCCAACCTCTTCCAGATCCTGGATCCGCTTCTTTGTCGGCGATCTTGACTTCGGAGCCGATTTCTGCGGAGTTTGAGCAGCTGCAGTTCCTTTTTTCTCAACTTTCTCGGGCTTGGCTTCAGCGGCTTCAACTTCCGAGCCCTTCGAGGTGCTGGGCTCGGGTTCTGGAGCAATTTCGGCGGGTTTGGGAGGTGCTGGCTTCTTTGCTTCCGCTTCTGGTTGTTTTGGCTTGGGTTTTTCGACATGAGCTTCAGCTTTGGCTTCAGTTTTCGCTTCCGGTCTTGGTGTTCTTGGTGTTACTTCTTTGACAGTTCTTGGGGTGGATTCTCTGGACGTTGCCCTTGAGGAATTTCGGCTTGATCGTGACCTGGGAATTCCGGATTCTGCTGGCTGGGACGGCTTTCTTCCTGAAGCCAAATAGCTACTGTCAGATATGGTCCATTTTTCTTACCTTTGTGGGCGTTGGCTGCCTTTGCGGTTTCCTGGGGCTCTGCTGCCTTGGGCTTTGCTTCTTGGCTTCGGCCGATTGAGTTGTTTTATTTTCTTGGCCGGTCCTGGGTGATTTTACGGCGCTGGTGCTGGGTTTCGGTTCTTCGAAGACTTCCTGAAAATCAATGAATGCTTTTTTAACAAGTCAGGCTAAAGAATCCTTACTAGGTTGCCCCATCAACCCACAAAAAATCTCGAGAAGCGGAAATTCCCAAATGATCTCTGCAAGTCTATCCGCGAAACGATGGGTCGATGACTCCCACATTCCATCTCACACTCTATCTCACCTTCCACGCTCAATCGCACGCTCGCCGAAATCCGAAAACCAATCTCTATGACTGACCCACACGCTCTCTCTCTATCTCTCTCTATCTCTCTCATTCTCTCTCTATTTTTCTCTCTCACTATCTTTATAGCGTTCTACGATGGATACTATAAAGGATCGTTGCTAGCTCGCCCAAATCCAATCGACCCAAGTCTGCATGCACCCACCTTCTCATCCTCAATCGGCTCCGACTCGGGATCCCTAGCTTTTTGCTGTATCATCGTCAGCGGCTTGTGCCGCTCCAAACTCCTTCCCCTTTCGGGGGTGTACAGATGGCCCATTTGCACTCCAGCCGATGCACTGCGTTTGTATGCCTAAAGTATAGAATTTTCTACGGACCAAAAGCGATACTATCAATGGGTAGAAAATTATTTTGCAGCCATTTGGGACAGAGCATGCTCTATAGGAATTTTTTTGCGGCGCTTCATGCTCTATTTTAAGCAAACTCGAGCGAGCTCAAGGAGAAATTAGTGAAAAATTTTTGGATTTACAGGCAAGCGCTAGGTATATTTTTACACACAATCTGGAAGTGAGAAGGAGTGTAGCGGAATTTTCAGATGCAAAAATTAGATTTTCAGGAATTTTTTATCTATAAAAATTAGAATTACCGCTACGAAAAATGCTGATCTTTGTTATGACCAAAAAATTCCGCTAAACACCTCCTTACACCTTCAGGTTCTACGTATAAAAAATTCAAGGGAAAATATTCATATAGCAGCTACAATCTTAATAAGTAACCTGTGGATTTTCCGTATTTCCGGGAGCGCTCTTCTAAAGAAAAGGCACTTTAAATGGAGTTGGTTAGCAGAAGTGTAGAAGTCGAAAATTAGGGATTCAGCACGGGAGAGTGAAAAGAAAAACGACCCGAGGAAGCCACTGATCGCGGCAGGCACACAGTAAGCCAGAAAGCAGAATCGAAAAAAATAAAATTATGTACCCGATTGTTGCTGCTGAAGCGCGGCATGGAGGCTTTTGGTTGGCGCATTTCGACGAAGATGCCGGCTGGAAAAAGTATTTAGAAAGGGAGAGGGAGAGAGAGTGAGTGAAAGAAAGAGCAAGCGAGAGACGAGTGAGAGAGAGAGAGAGAACGAAGGGCGAGAGTGATATGGTGAGATAGAGAGAGTGAAAGCCAGATCGCGGGAGAGTGATAGAGAGATAGAGAGTGTATGGGTGAGAGAGAGTGAGGTAGAAGAAGCGAGGGAGCGAGAGCGAGAGAAAACATTGGGCGAGAGAGTGAAGACAGAGTGGCCGCTTGTGTGTCCGAGAGAGAGAGAGAGAGAGAGAGAGAGAGAAAGAGAGAGCAAGAGTGAGAGTGTGTGATAAGGAGAGAGAGGGACAGAGAAAGAGAGAGAGAGAGAGAGAGAGAGCGGGAGAGCATTGAAATTGTATTGTTTTATGAAATCAAAAACCTACTCTCCCTAATCCGCACTTGATCCCTTTCATTCAACAAATTCCAAGCTTCGGCCCGGACCACCGAAGCGGCGTAGTGCAGCAGGTGCTTATCAACAAGTTCGTAGAGCCGACGGACGAGAACGTAGAACCTCTATAAAATACAGGAAGCACTAATTTACCGCATTTTTTGCCTACCGGGCTCCACTCATCGATCGGAATCGACAGCGTTCTTTGGAGATGGTGGGGACGCTTTGAATCTCGGTCAGCAGGTCAGCTAGTCCCAGGTACGACTTGATGGCGACGTCGGCGGACAAGCTGTGGACCAGGGTGGGGAGGATGTCTTCGAGGATTCCCAGGTTTAGGGCGAGACCCTGAAAAACGATGGTATTATGGCCGAAATTTAAGGCGTTCTTACTTTAAACGGACCGCTAATGGCTTGGAAAGTCCATAGCCAAAAAATCCCTTTCAGACGTAAACTGCTCTACTTACCTTTCCTTGGGCTGCAAAACTCTTGCTGGTGATGACCAAATGGAAAGAGTGGATCAGGTATTGCATTCCCACGTCCAGAATATCGTTGACCATGTTCAGAACGGTAAAAGCCGCTTCGCTGCGGGACCTCGAGAAGGCGACTTGGAGCCGTTCACAGCCGAGGATCGTCTCGATGAGCGTCTCGTCGTCCTGGAAGAGATTAGTTTTCGTTTTCATTTCTCTCGCTCTCGCACTCTCTCGCTCACCCACCAGTACCAGTATAACTCCTTCAAAGCATTCCTTCAGCCACCTCTCATTCAAATGCATAAAGACACGTCCTTTCCAGATTCGGGCAAAATACTTGGCTTGCCATTGGATTGCCTAAAAAGCGTTATTAGTAAGCCTACGTATCTTGACAAATACCTCTTCATAAAGTGGCTTTAGGCATCTAATGGAATAGAATTGTGGGAGAGCGTCAAAAACGGCAGAGACGCAGACGGCGCATGGCTAAAAAATATTCGAAAACGATTCCATCGCTCTATCTCTTCTCTCCCCCTTTCTCTTGCGCCCTTCTCTCTTACCCTATGGAACCAGTGACATTTCGTAGCTTTCAGATGTAAGCTCACAACTTCGATGAGATCTTTCAGATTCAGATGGGTGGCCAGGGCAAGGACCTATAAAACAAGATAAACTTGTTGTCATGATTCTCTGAAAAGATTATGCTCATTTTGTGGCGCTCACCTCCCACGTGTCCACTTCATCCGGAATCGCCGTGAGCCCACCGTAGAGGAAACAGAGCAAAAAGTGGACGGAGGACTTGTTGTAGCCCTTCAGCTCGATGCGTCGGGATTTTTGAAGTTGTTGGCGGAAGAAGGGGCACGTGGCGGAGAGGATGCATCTGGAAATGGACAATCAGAGAGAGCGAGTGAGCGAGAGAGAGACGAGATAGAGAGACAGAGAGAGAGAGAGCGAGAGAGAGAGCGAGCGAGAGAGATACACACCTATGTGCAAACAGCTCTCCGTTATCACATTTTATCACCACATCCGAGTCCTTATTGTCGATGTACATCTCCAGCAAATCGGAGGCTAATTTGCATGAAGGAGTACGATCCGCAACAGGCGCATTTCCTGAAAATACCGTGGTTAAAGGTGGGGTAAGTATGATACGATCGCCCAACTAGGTTTACTCGAGGTTAAAAGCCAACCATCATGATTCGGCGTCATGTCGATGCTGGTCAGCGAAGAGCGATGCAACAGACAGTCTTTTGGCTATCATAGCTCTTCCCCTAACTCCTTCGGGTACACCTCCATACATCATACGCTCTCCGGGAGAAGTTGACTCGTCAAGCCCGATGAACATGGAGAACATTGGCTGAAAAAAGCTGTTTTAGAGGGGTGGCGAGAGTAAGAAGAAAACCGACGCTAAGCAAGGCGAATTCTCTCCACCTCTATCTAGCTATCTATCCATCTTCTTTACCTTATGAATATTACTACGCCTCCTGCTCTCAGTCTCGGTCCTCTCACCATCATCCGTAGAATCCAAGCGGATGAATTTTCCCATCGTAGCTAAAAACCAGAAAATTCTTAGTTTATTTGAAGTATAATAAACTGGATTTCAATAAATGTAAATGGCTTACTTTCTTGTCTCGAACTTTTCCGCCTAGCAGGTATGCAAGTGCCATCTTCGTCTTCTTCCGGTATGTCCGGACCGACCTGAAACTCAAATGTTTGTCTCCCTGGCCGTCTCTCTTTTTTTTATCTGTTTCGATTGCTCTCTCTCTCTCGCTCTCTCTCTCTCGCACACAGTTCCCTAGTTGTTCTCTCTGTCCGTCTCTGCCTTTCTCTCGACCTCTCTCTCTATCTCTCTTTCTCTTTCTCTCCACCGACTCACATCTGATCTCCCGCCGATCGAGTACAACGATGAATTCATCGGGGAATGCGAGGCAATGTCTCGGAACGAGGTCATCATTGGGATTTGCTGAAATGCAAATTCTTGGAAAGATCAACTGAACTACCGTAATTGTTGACTGTTGATGCTGATTATGCTGCTGTGAGGAATGTGGCTGCGGGACGTCGCCTTTGGGGAGGATGTGCTCTTCTCGATCCTGAAAAAAAAATGATATTAGGACAGGCGCATTTCCTTGCAAATTACGCTATAAAAATATTGCGTTTTTTCTTACCTGGGCCTTAAAATCCTCCAAATCCGTCGAAGCATCCATATTGAAGGAGGCGTTGGAGTTTCGAGAGTCGGAATCTCCTGAAAAAAATTGGAATTAAATCTTGCGGACAATTTCAGGACCTTCATGCTGGTCAATTCGATAGATTTGAACTTAGGAACCAATAGGAAGCCCTGGATAAATGGATGGACGGTGGGTGGGAGCGGAATTCGATGATTTTTTTCATTGCCAGGTTTGTGCCCTCTCTCCGAAACTTACCCCATACCAATATCCTTGGTACGTTCGGCATTGGCAACAGCCGATGCTTGCGGCAATTTGTGCACACTGTTTTGGTATGGTTTTTAGGACGGATGTTACATTAAAGTATTTTAATCGAATCTTGGTCTCAAAACCCTTTTTTTACTTTTCTTTTCAAATATTGCTCTGATTTTGTAGGTTCATGGTTTCAAAAAAAAAGTTGATTATCTGAGACTGTTTAGGAGTTTGTTAAAAAGGAATAATAATAGCAATTATATCATTAGTGAGGTATTATTTGACCTATCTTCTGAACCCTTACCTCAAAAAAAAGTGTTTTTGGGTTGGGCTGAATTGCTCATTTTTAGCAAATGTTTTTTTACAAAAATCCCCTATAAGAGTTTTAAATGAAATCTGCAAAGTATAAAACTCACTGGGTTCCTCGTCGACCGTTTCCCCGACGTCAGGCGGAAACTGGGCGATCTCGTCTTCTGTGTACACAGAATGGATGAAGAACTCCAGCCCCGACGAGTCGATGTCACCAACTGCTACCTGGACATGGAAAAAATTTGATTAAGTTTTTCTTGATACTTTTGGCTTTGTCCCTTTAAGGACCAGCCAAACTAGCCAAAATCAAAAATTAAGTGCCGTTGACCCTACCATCATCTGAATCTTACCTCCCTAATCTTCCCTCCAACTGCCGGTCCCATCGCTACGACCGTAGGCTCGATGTGGCGCTGATAAAATCCGGGAGCTCGTGCTCGTAGTATGCACTCATGGGCCGGTAGCTTTTTCCCGTCAGCCGCCACGAGGAGTAAGTCTGCGGAATCCATGTTTCCTACCTAAAATACCAATCTTCTAAAAACCTTATTTTGCTTGATTAGATTTCACTTCAAAGACTTCAGGTATTCCGCGAAAACCACTTGGACTTTTGACACGAACTGGCATGCTATTACGGGCTCAATTTTATTTATAAAAAATTTACTTGAACGCGACGTTTTAGCTATAGAAAAAAATAAGGATAATTAAGATACAGCGTACCAACTAAATTCAGAATTGTAGTTTCTAAGCGAAAACAAAAGTTTCAGAGTTTTACAAGGTTTTCTTGAGATTTCAGACAAATTAGCAACTCAAAAATACCTTAGATTCAAAAAAATGGTGTTTTATATTATTAGGAAAGAAAAAATTCCTAAAAAGTGCTACGAACCCCAAAATCTGCATTTTGTCGGAGGATTTAGTCATCAAAAATCAAATATCGCAAAGATTTGGCTTCACAAGCTCTTTAAAACAGCGCTAACGATTTTTGGTATACAAAATTTCAGACTTATTAAAGCTCCAGCACCATAAAAAATTCCCTACCAGTGCGGCCATCTACAAGCATCTTTGTGCGAGCTGGTTCTCGCAGCTTTTCACGAGCGTAGCCGTACTGCTCCCAAACGACGGCCGAGCAACGCATCAGCCCATGCGGACGCTGAACATTCGAGCTGCGTTATTTTTTGGGAAATAGAAATAAAAAGGATTCTCGAGACAGGCCGTTCATATCCAACGAGGTGGGGGCTGTGTAAATATGGGGGTAGAGGGGCATGATTGAGGATCCGGAAATGGCCATCCATACCGGAGAAAAGGTAGCAATTCGTGTTACGAGGGCGACGTTGCAGACGTTTTTTGAGGAAAACGAGAAACATTACAAAATTAGAGATATTTTTTGAGATTGCTTACTGCGTCAATGTTCCATAGAAAAGCAGTATGAGCATAAGTCGTGGAAAATCCATGTTCCAGCCATAATACCGACTATCAAAAATGGATAGGCCGAAATCCCGACAGCGAAAATTCCGTAGGTTCAAAATCCCGACAACCGAAAACTGTCGTACTCACGCCGTCTGAAATTCGGGATTTTCGGATTTTGCTGTCGGCTTTCGGTAAGCCTACTGTCGGCATTTTTGCGTTTTTTTTCTGGAAAATTAGAATTTCTGAAAAATTTAAAACTATTGAAATTTCGAATCTGTACAAATATTAAAAGTAGTCAAGAGCACTCCGGCCGAATAGAAATTCAAAGCAACGGCCGATTTTCCATTAATGCACGAAATAACGGTTATTTACTAAGGCTCTTCCATGACGAAAATACTGCCAGACCTTACTTTTCTCAAAAACTAATTTAAAACAAGACTGGGATGACGCTGGAAGCAACTTTTGTCTTGTGCCCCCCCCCCCTTAGCTGAAGGAATTGAGCCACACGCTTGAAAACATGCGGAGGGTGCTCCTGGGGGAGACAAGGAAGTGAAAAAGGACAAGGAATAGGATGAAAAAGGATGTTATCTTTGTTTTTAAAAATAACACCAGGCAGAAGTATTAAAAATCTTACCTTATATAATTTTGGCGTGTATCTTTGTGTGTGTGTGTGGATGTCAGTTTCGAGGCCCGATTTGAGGGCCTTCCCGTGCATAAAACGCCCTAATTCTCCGTCACCCGGGGGAATCGACTCTTCTGTTTTCGATGACGTTCTCAGAATTTCGATAAAATACAAGTTTACAAAGTTAAAGCCGGTTTTATTCATTTTTGGGGGTCCCGGAGGGCTAATTTGCATAATGTGAAAAAATACAAATTTCCTCATTCTTGCGAGTTGCTCGCGCGCGTGTGGTGGGGGGGGGTCAAAGGACTCGAGCTACCGGAAAGTCAATTTCTCATGCCAACGCACCCCGTCCAGCGCCCAAGGCCCGCGAAGCGGGTTTTGGGCGCTGGTTCTATATAAAAATATCGACGTTACGTTTGGGCGTTTCCTGGAGCGTAGCGGTGCTTTGGTTTGGCCGAAGAGAAACGCTGATTTAAGAATTGGGAGTTTAACCTGAAATTTTAAGGCGTTTTTGTCCCTTAAACTCCCTCATACTGCCTTTTTCTGTACAGTTTTTAGCATGAAAACGATTCTTAGCAGATTTTTTGTATCTTACCACCCTTAATTGTCATTTTGATAAAAAATGAGGGGTAGATTACGGAAAATAGGGTATCAAACCAGTCTCGAAACCACTTTCGAACGCTAAAAAACATCGAAAACCCTCCCAAAAAGTGCTGGACAACTTGAAGGGATGTCCCAACATGGGTGTTAGGGGCCTGAAAGTGGGGCAGCATTTTGCGGCTTTAGCGTGAGACAATAGGGGTCGATGGCCGAAAAGAGGGGAGAGAGGGAGAGAAAGAGAGAGAGAGAGAGAGAGAGAGAGAGAGAGAGAGAGAAAGGAAGCATCCCCTCCTTTCTGAGGAAATGAAAACGACGCACAAGCCCCCGAGGGAGCAGAGGACCGAAACGGAATTCCTTGGAAAAGAGGAGCAAGAGAGGAAGAGGGCGGTCTGAGGGGTGGGAAGTCGATGGCCGTGTGGTGGCTAGAAAGGAGGAAAGGGATCAATAGGACCCAACGGGGGGAAGTGCCCGGATGGGTGCCTAATTAAGGGGAATACGACACCCCATCCCGATTCTGCTGGCTTGATGCCTTCACGAGGCCTTTAAAGGGACCGACAATGGGCTTTGTGATTTGGGATTGGGTAGTTAGGTGGTGCTATTATTTGGGCTTGAGATGAGATAGATGGTTGCTTTTCGCCGAAATTCCAAAAAGTTTAAAACTCGAATTCGCCGACTGGTGACTTCGTGGACGCATTTAAATGAGTGACGCGGAATTTTTCATATTTTCTATTTTTGGTCTAGAAACTTGGAGAGAGGGAGAGGAGAGAGAGAGGAGGAGAGAGAGCGTATGGAGAATGAAGTCCTAGCTCCAAAAACTGGTGACTTTCTGGGTCTGACCCCGCCGACAGCGGCTACTCTTTCATTCTGTCGCCCCGGAATTCTTCCACCAGCGGCTCCTCCCTCTCCAGACTGCCGATGCTGCGTGTTTGTGGCCTCTGAATGCAATTGCCAGCTTTGGATCTCAGCTCTCTCTCTCTCTCTCTCTCTCTCTCACTCTCTCGATACTCCTAAGACGGGTCGAAATCCTAGGGAATTCGTTACGTTACGTCACGGGAAAAGAGTTTCAAAAGCCTGGAAGTTGCAAGGTCGAAAAATCCCTCTGAAATTCGAAAAAATCCAAATATGAGCATGAACACCCGAGCAAGGAGTCAAAGTCAAGAAAGCGAATCCTTTTCAAATGCTTTTCATGAATGAAGGAGTGAGGGCCCCAGAGACGGCCAAGTGAAATCTGAGCCGTGTTAAATTTGAGACGGTGCTCAAACTCGGGCCAGGTACAACAGACAGCTGAGGTGAAAAGAGGTTGTGGGATCGTCACCGCACCAGTACTTAGACCGTTTTAAAAGTGGGAATATGACAGAAGAACCGTGGGCTTAAACAGCATGCTAATCGAGGGGAAATGAATGTCAAATGAGCCTGTTTATTTCATTTTAAAAAAATGGAAAAATTCTTTACAAGGGACTGGCGTGGGGTCAGCAATTTTTGTGGGTTTTTATCCACCACGGAGCCGCGAAGCGCCGCGATACGCAACGCGCACGCTTCCCGGTGGACCTGCCGGTGTCGTAGATCATAGCGCGCGCGTCGCATATCACGACGGCGGTAAAATCTATGGTAAATCCTTACAAATTGTTGTTCGCAAAAAAAATATTTTGTAAGTTCTAAAGGGAGCGAGACAGCAACCCCAATCAGATCCGCATCGTGAAAGCTCACTGCGAAGTTTCCGAAGGGCCATTTTAGAGCTTTGAAAAATTTAGACGCTAAATAACTTACCCATTTTTACGGTTTTCATGCGGTTTTCCTCAATTTCCGATGTACAATTTTATAGCCGCGTTTTTAGGAGCGAAAAATATTGCCAGACTGACCAAGCTCAAGGCGCGACTCCGGGTTGTGCGGTGGGAACACTATGTGGGCACAAGAAAGCCATGAATTGTTGAGTTCGGTGTGGAGGAGTGGCAGAATGAAGAGAAAGACAAGGAGAAGAAGATGGAAGGCCATGAATTGCTAAATAGGGGGCTTAAGAGTTAAAGGATCTGTCCTCTAGATGTAGCAAGTTTTGGCAAGGAGTTGGGATGGAAAATAGCAGCTTGTACTCGCCGAAAAGCTGTGTAAAAAATATGAAAAAGCCAGTAAGGCTTCGGGAAACTCGGTAAATCCTCTAAAATTCGATAAAATAAATTTAAATGCGCTATAGTATTTCGACAAAAACCTGAAGAATTTTTAAATCATGAATTTTCAGACCAACAGGCCCGCTAGAGAAGCTGCAAAATTTGCATTTTCAAAATATACCTAACTGGTCTATCTGGGCTCTGTAAGCTCCGTTGAATATAAAGAAGGTGTCTTAAAATTTGCGAAAAATCTCGAGAACTCGTATATTAGCCACTACTACCCGCAAAATGTGTGAGCCCAGGAACGCGGTAGGCGAGTGGCTTGGGTAAATAAATTTGAGCCCCCGCAACACAACTAGCCGCACTCCTCCTTCACCTAGGTGCGTACTGTCAGTGCCGAGGAAATACGATCGAATAACATGAATCGATGGTCAGCTACCAGGTAGTGGAGAGAAAGGAGGTAATTTACGCAGTGACCGGAAGTACGGATCCTAACGTAGGCAACGTGAAATTCGGAAAAAATGGGTTGTTTTAATTTCCTCCAGAAATAATTTAAGTCGGTGTGTAGTGGTGGAGAGAAAAAGAGAAAGCTAGAAAGCCAGAGAGCGAGAGGGACAGAACCTGAGGGAGAGAGACCCAGAGTCTCAAAAATACGTAG